TGATTTCAAACTTGTGATCTTGCTTGTGCGAGCTTGTCATTAGAAAAAGTCCAGGTTTCCTCACGATGTTTTCGAAAAAGTCACATTGGTACTTGCTGTTGGTAGGTTTCGCAAGCATGAGAAGCGGGCGTCTTAAACCCCCGGGCCACCACGACTTTTAGGTAATGTAGGTAGGTACTAGGTAGAGGTAGATAGGTAGGTAGGATAGGTTGGAAATTATAAAAAAATATCAAAACCCTTTGTGAAGCCGCCGGCAGAAGTGAATGGTAAATAAAACATCACGCAGCGAGGGAAGCAGCTGACAGGAGGTAGTATTAAATATACATACCAGATAGTCCTCGGCGCGTGTCCCCAGTCCCGGGGCGTGTGCGCGAGCGCGCGCGCGACGTCGTGGTCGTGCACGGGCACGTCGGACACGACGCGCGCCACGCGCACGCAGCCGGCGCGCGGCCACGGCGCCGCCCGCCCGTCGTCCACCACCAGCTCGACGCGCATCGTCACCTCCCACACGGAGCGGAGCGGGATAATGAGTCAGATGGGCAACGCATTGAGCTCCCGACCAATCATTGAGCTTCTATCATCGCGGCGCAAGGAGGCAGGACGGTGGATCTTCGGCCAGCCAAACACGCGCCTCGCTAGCAGATCATCAAGTTTCTTGCGGAAATTGCTCTTATCGTAGCTTTGTTTTTAAATTAATTTTATTTGTGTAGATGTTATGTTGTCTTGTGGGTTTCAAATTAAAGTGTCTCTAAAGCGACTAGTGCCTGCCCATTTCTTATATTCTTCATCTACTTCCTACTAATATTATAAATGGGAAAGTTTGTGAGGATGTGTGTTTTTTAAGGAATAGGAGGCCAACGAGCAGTCGGATCACCTGATAGTAAGCGATCAGCGCCGCCCATGGACACTCGCAACAACACAGGTGCGTTGCCGGCGTTTAAAAAAGGAATACGCTCTTGTCTTGAAGGTTTGAAGGTCGTATCGGTTCGGAAATACCGCCGACGACTGATCATTCCACAGTTTTGCTGTGCGTGGTAGAAAGCTACGAGAGAAGCGCACAGTGTGTGTGTGTGTGTATGTGTGTGTGTGTGTGTGTGTATGTGTGTATGTGTGTGAGTTACAAAACGGTGAAAGAATCAGGATGAAATTTGAAACAGGGCTAGAAGTCATTGTATAATTTACCCCCCTCATAAAAAAGGAAGGTTTATATGTAGAATATATGCATATTGCACCAGTGCGAAGCCGGGGCGAGTCGCTAGTAATAAATAAAACACAGATAAAAATCACAATAACGATATAATCATTCATCAAAAAATAACTAAACAGTTTCATACAAACACATTGCGACATACATTTAATACTAATTTACTTTTTATGAGAAAGGGAGTGTGAGTCTTACAATCTTACTAATATTATAAGTAATGCGAATGTTTGTGGCCGTTTGTTACTCAGCCACGTCGAAACGGCTGAAGGGATCGGGATACAATTTGGGACAGGGCTAGATTATGGTCTAGAATAACACATAGGCTTTATATCACACAGGAACCGCTGGCAGAAAGCCCATACATTCATAAAACCAGTCAATTTGGTCAGAGTGTAGCATGGGTGTGCAAGAGATTTGGGACTTTCATCAAAAATGAAAATTCTTATAAATGGCTAGTTTTTCGTTTCCATCGCTTAGTATACCTAATAATAAAGCGAAAATCATGTGGACACCTTTTGTCTAGGACTTCAGGTTCGCCTGAAAATGAGCCCTAAAGGTCAGTTGGCGGAGTATGAAAAAAAGCGTTATTCAGCGCTCGGCGGCCGCTGCCGCTGCGCTTTGCTGCACTCCGAGCGGCAATTTATTATGCAGGCAAGGAAATAAAGTTTGATCCAGTAGCGACAGTAACCATTGGTTGGCTACTGAACCAACCAATGGTTACAGAAGATATTAGCCGGTGAACGAGCAGACGGATCTCCTGATGGTAAGCAATCGGCATCGCCCATGGACACCTGGAACACCAGAGGCGTTACAAGTGCGTTACCGGCCTTTTGGGATTAGGTATTTGAGGATTGTTTGGGATTCAGGGATTGGGTAAGGGAGGGAGGGGGGGGGGGGAATTGGGTCTCCGGTAACCTCACTCACACGACGAAACACAACACAACGTTGTTTCACGTCGGTCTTCTATGAGTCCGTGGTATCAGGCCAGTTAGCCGGCTCATTCATGTCGAAGCATGGCTCTCCAGCACTTAACGCTGAATGACTTCGTTAAAAGCATTCAATTTGGTGTAACAATAGCTACTGTCTCTGTACTGGATCGAGCTTTGTTTCATTACCTACATACTAAATAATTTGCAGCGTACATTGCTAGAATCAGTTACATCTTTTCTATTGGATTAGCCGGTAAACAAGCAGACGGATCACCTGATGGTAAGCAACCAGCAGCTGTAGTCAAATACCACTTAGCGCTTGTCTACATGTAGAATCCAAATTATATGGAATTAACATAAATTTTGCCACTTGTCAGTGTCATCCCCATACATTTAGTTTTCTACTCTCTCTGTAGACGAGCGCTAAAGTGGCGTTTGGCAAGGCACAGGGCCGCTCATGGACACCCGCAACATATTTGGAGTTCCAAATGCGTTTCTGGCCCTCACTTATAACTTACTGACGCGCGAACGCTAAAAGGCTGCTCAATTTGAAGTAGTACTTAAAAATATCATGCCGTCTCTGTCATTATACAAAGAATTTGTAGAGACAGGGTGCTTACTCTTGAAACCAATGTCAATGTTAATGCAATTCCAATCCAATAAAATCTCAATAATTATTCAATGTCAAAACTATACAACCCCAATCGTAGCTGTTACAATAGCAGAGTACGGTATATAAACCCAAACTCAATACCATTTAGTTCAATTTAATATTTTCGGCTTACTCACGTATAATTACCTCTTTGACGAGGAACTAGACCAGTTTAAAGCCATTAATATACAAGACCATTTAGTTCATTCAATATCCACGCAGTACGGATGCAACGGGCGCTAGTGTTACAACTCAAAAGTTCGAAACATCACAATTCGACTGTTCAATACAATACTTTTTTGAAAAATAATCACAGTGTTGACATTGAAGAATTATTGAGATTGCATTTGAATAAAATTACGTTGACATTGAGATTGGTTTCAAGAGTAAGCGCCCAGGAAGGACAAATACATTCTGAAGGGCTAATGTCACTCGTTCTGTGTAAAAATACTGAAATAAAAACTGTCCTTACCCACCCCCCTCCCTTTACAAAATATAAAACCACATACAACTGTACAGGGTGACTTGTAACTCGACGTATTCCTCTCGGGAGGTGATAGTACAACTAATTTCCTACAAAATTAGCCCTGAGGTCTCTGGTCCGAAAGTGGCTAGTTTCTGAGATATTCAACATTTTCGGTTTTGGTGAAAAAATGCCGATCGAACTACAAAAACATCAATAAATAAAAAACTTCTGGTTTGATTTAAGTGATTTTAGTTTTAATTTGTTGTCAATACATCAATAAACATTTATTTATACTAATACTGGCAAAATATCGGACGGACCAGAGACTTTAGTTGTACTATCACCTCCCGAGAGGAATACGTCGAGTTACAAGTCACCCTGTATAGTGGCTAATTTAATTAGTCCGTCAGTTACATAATGAAAAAATATTAGACACGTGTTTTTATTTTCTCGTATAAAGTTACAAAACTTAGATAAAATGAAGTTAAGGTTAGGAGTGGGAGGTCGTGACGTCACCCGACATTTCAAATAAACATAATATCGTCAAAAGTAGATATTTAATTTTGTGAGAAAAGAAAAAATACGTGTCTAATGTTTTAAATTAATCTACCAGACGGACATTAAGATAAAATTTAGGATACTACCCTATTCTTAAGCCAATTGAATACGGTCTAGTCTTTTACTAATTACCATAGGAATGGCGACTATTGACTTGTACCAAATTGATTGGTATAGGTACCTATTTTTAATTCACTTTTGACCGACTTCAGAACAGGAGGTTCTTAGCCAGACCTGAGGCCTTAGTACCAGTGTGTTTTACGTTAATTAAAGTAATTGAAACGAGACTGCATCCGGCGCTCTGATTGGTTGGTTCACTAGAGCCGGCCAATCAGAGCGCCGAACGCGTACTATATGTATGTTAACTAAAATCGCGAGTTACTCACGTGAACATACTGAGACAAGTTCTACTAGTATCGAGCCACAGAGTGGTTCTTCCTCATGAGTATGAGCGGCGGTGTCTCGCAGCCTACGTACTCTTTTCTCAGTACATTCACGTGAGTAACCCGCGATTTTTATTTAATTTAGTATGTCTCACGATAGTTATTATAAAACAGTGTATGTATGTATGTATATAGACGAATATCTCGCGATTAACTGAACCGATTTCGGTACGGTTTTCAGCAGTCTTTGTTACAGTTAAAAACAAATTTTAGTAAATTAATCGACTTCAAAACAGACGGTTTCTTGTAGTTTTAATTTCGAGTAAAAGCTAGCATCTGTTAGAAGGAAATGTTAAAATGTTAAAATCATCATCCCTCCCTAATATATACAATTTTTATTGATATGTTTGTTTTCGGCTAGCGATTAGTCTTACAATCTTTTAAAATAGCCACGTTATAGTCAGCCTGAATGGAGAATGTTAACGTTTTTAGATATATGTGTGAACGAAGCTCACTGTTCTTAATTTAAATTTGAATTTCCCGCGCTTTGTATATCTTTTTATATCTTATTTTTAGAAAAATATTAATTAATTTTAACCTCTCGCGCGTCTCGTACACGGGTTTAATAGAAAGCGAATGAACTATTCTGTTCAATCAAATAAAGAACGGGTTGCAACTTGAAAATATACATCACAGAAAAAGTTTCCAATCGGTGCAAGTCACTCTCGTACACCCTACAATTGTATTGTGTGTACAATTGCGGCGATGGGCACTCAACTCTCTGGTACACCCGTGTGTACAAGAAACGCGCGAGAGGTTAAGAAATTAGAATGAATGATAACTATAATTATGTGAACGTTTTATATGTTTAAATATTTATTTGGCTTCGATACTTTGTTCATAGTACGTTACAGTAACACTCTCCATTCTGAGCAAATGAGAAATACGTGTAGCGTTTAACAAGTTATTGAAATATATTTCGATGTAAAATGGTGGTTATTATTGTATGTTATGAGAGCAATACGTAGGAAATAACACGCGGTATGTGCTGTGTCTGCTACGCCAACAAGAGGTCATCGTCCCGCGTCTTGTGCTTCAGGTATCTGAACATTCGCCTGAAATAGACAAGAAATATTCATTAAATAATTAATTAATGTAACATTTGTGTGTGCGTGTGTGTGTGTGTGTGTGTGTGTGTGTGTGTGTGTGTGTGTTTAGGTTTTTTAGTTTTCAGTCTACATGTGCCCACCGCTGACCAAAGGCCGCACGGTGAAGGTTTCAGCATTAATCACCATGCTTGCTCAATGCGGGTCTGCGGGTTGGCGATTTCAAACTTGTGATCTTGGTTGTGCGAGCTTGTCATTAGAAAAAGTCCAGGTTTCCTCACGATGTTTTCGAAAAAGTCACATTGGTACTTGCTGTTGGTAGGTTTTGCAAGCATGAGAAGCGGGCGTCTTAAACCTCCGGGCCACCACGACTTTTAGGTAATGTAGGTAGGTACTAGGTAGAGGTAGATAGGTACATAGTTTTTATGAGTCGAAAAAAATAAGTTGGAAATTATAAAATAAAATATCAAAACCCTTTGTGAAGCCGCCGGCAGAAGTCAATGGTAAATAAAACATCACGCAACGATTAAAACAAGCAGAGCAGCGAGGGAAGCAGCTGACAGGAGGTAGTATTAAATATACATACCAGATAGTCCTCGGCGCGTGTCCCCAGTCCCGGGGCGTGTGCGCGAGCGCGCGCGCGACGTCGTGGTCGTGCACGGGCACGTCGGACACGACGCGCGCCACGCGCACGCAGCCGGCGCGCGGCCACGGCGCCGCCCGCCCGTCGTCCACCACCAGCTCCACGCGCATCGACACCTCCCACACCGAGCGGAGCGGGATGTTTGCCACCTGTGCACATTACGGCACTTAATGCGGCACTTAGTCCTATGTAATAGGGTGTGAGCCTATTGCCATAAACCGGGCACAATTCAAAACTCGGTGCTACTACTGAAAATTTTTAAAAACCTCAATAATTTGGTTCGATTGCCGCACGGAGCAACTCTTTGTGTGATCCACAGATTGTTGTTCTGTGTCTGGGTGTGATGTGTATGTGAACTTGTATGTTTGTAAACGCACCTACGACACAGGAGAAAATCAGTAGTGTGGGGCAACATTTTTTTGAGTGCTATGACTTCACAGCTTGGATTTATGGAAAATATTATGTAGAATGACATTACAAAATTGTCTACGTTACGAAATTGTCTATGGGCTCATATAAGGAAATCTCAGTCTGGACTGAGTTATGAGCGTTGAAAGGAGCAGGATTCAATCATTTTACTTTGGTTTTTTTATTCAAATTATTCATAATAATATTTTGTCACAATTCCTAACTTCAAATTGCGGGCCATTGTAAGCCGGGCACAGGAACACCATAGCATACCCCAATGTATCCATATTGCCAGGCACTAATTTTTATAACCTATTTTCTCTCAGTCGATAACTTGTATGATGTTTCTAGGAATTGTGTCATGAAGCTTCATGAGCGTCAGCTGTGGTACCAGTGGTGGGTTGAGTAGTGATAGCCGTCCAAACATCTAATAAAGTATTTTTTTTGCCGTCGACTCCTGTTGGAAGAATCATCTACTTTATAGTTGGCATAATCTTTTGAAGAAAGGAAACCGTCGACTTTATAAAGACTATACGTCAGATGAGCGATGTATGAGCGCATAATTTTTTCATATAAATGAGATCAGTCGAAATATAATTCATCACTTTGACTGAATGACGATATCTTTGTATAGAATCTTATGCTAGGTGGATTAAAGTTAACTGTAGCTAGATTAGTTACTAATCGGAAGTAAGACGGAAGAAGTAGACAGATGAATGATTTTTTTGTGTTTTAACGACTGCCGCTACTCAATCCGCTACCGACGCCGCAGCTGACAAACATTTCATGATAGGGCTCAGAAAAGCATTTTACGGGTTTTCGACTGAGAGAGAAATTGATCATGAAAATCTGTCATAAGCCATAAACCGTATACATATAAAGTGAGCACGCTAGTCAATCAAGCGAAACATATAAGGTGTTAATAAAAAAGCTCTAAATATTTTATGAGGTTGGTGGGAATCAATAAACTGACACGTATAGCAAAAAAAAAAAATTAACAATTTTAAGGACTTTTATTTTTAACAAAAATAAAGGAGTTGGTTAAACTTTTTTGTGCAAACCGTACGTGGGGCTGCGCTTGCGGCCCGAGCGAAGCAATGGCGCGCCGTCACCGTCCCCATGTTATCGCCATCTCTCTCTCTTTCTCCCTCTCTCCCGTTCGCTAGTTGCCCCGCTCTCTTTCTCACTTCTCTCTCTCTCGATCGCCAGTTGACCGATAGCTGTCGCGCGGGACCCAGGGTGTGGCCCTCAGTGTCGTTCAGTGTTGTGTCCGATCAATCGCACGCGCCATTTTTTATTGTTTGTTGTTCAATATTCAATAATGCCGTTTACGCACAGTAACCGCAAGTACTTAGACATGTTAATGTGGTACATTAGAAGTGGCGAAAATGTATCTGCAGCTCGTACTACGTACCAGGAACTGTATGGTGCTCAACGACGAGTACCGGCTTTACAGACAATACTGGGAGCTTACCAACGTTTACTGGATTATGGTCAGTTTCGTCCTCCCCAAGCCGATGCCGCAGGCCGCGGCTTGCTGGAGATATTGAAGAACGAGTTCTCGACTACTTCCACGACAATCCGGTCGCAGGTCGTGACTTAGGAATAACTCACGTTACCGCATGGAACATGCTCCGTGAAGAAGGCCAGGCCGGCCCACTACGACAGAGCAGCTCGCGAGTATTTAGATGTTACCTATCCAAATCGCTGAATAGACCGTGGTGGACCGATTGCATGGCCATCTCGATCCCCGGACCTCATTCCCATAGATTTCTATCTTTGGGGTCGTGTTAAGGACTTAGTGTACGGCCACAGTGGTAGTGAGATTAGAAACGCGGACGAATTGAAAATACGCATAATAAACGCGTTAGATATTATTAAAAGTGACAGAGACACATTATTGCGAGTGAAAAACAACGTAATACGTCGCGTCGTACAAACTTGTGCATCGAACAAGGTGGAAGACACTTCCAGCATCTTCTGTAAATAAGGTAGACTCTTTGTTAATACTTAAGTATCTAGAGACGGGCATTTATTCCGATGAATACTCGTAAATGATAAATACCTAAGTAACTACCAACTACCTAGTACTAGTACTACTAACTACCGAAGTATTGGTTTTTGGTCGAGTTATTATTAGTATTTACCTATTCAAAAAATTGACATAACTAATCATTGTAGCTATGCTAATTTAATAATAAGCATATCAATTCAGTTAAATAACATAATCTAAACCGAGTCGCGTGGTCGTTTATTAAAATGAAACATTATTAAGTTCAGTATTAACATAAGCGCGCGGTACCGCGACACCTGCGTTAGCGCGGTCGCGCGGGGCTTCGTCGACGGCCTAGTACGCCGTACGGCGCGCATATTAGGCTGTTTACGTGTAACACAAATAGTGGAATAACTTTAGAACGGTAGCTTTTTTTTTAATTATTTTTTCGTGATTAATTATGGAATAAATGTTTCAACAAAACCTTAGCTTTCCTGCAGCTTTTTTATTAACACCATATATATATTTTTTTTCTTCAGTGTGGCCAGTTTATGGTTCTCTCTGTTCTGATTCCGTGGAGTTATAACAAAAAAAAAAAGAAAATAAGTAAAACCACTACAAGCTTTATTATATTCCTTGAAATCGTTTATCAACATTTATTACAAAATATTTCTGACAAGTAAATGAAGAAATATGCGTTGTGTACGGTCACCATCACATCAACAGAATAACAGGGATAATATAGCACTATTTTCATATCTTTGAACTGATTTAACTCGGTTTGGACTGTGTTTTTGATATAAGACCCCATACATTTTTTTTTCACATCCGATCAACGGCCGCGAAAAAATGAAAAGGCACCACGCTTCATATAAATTTGGTCATTGTCATTTATCTGGCGTTGGAAATACCGGCCCTTAGTTGTGAGGTGGTTCAGGGACGGTTGGGGAAAACGGCCATTAAGGCTTTGTCTGCCAACAGAAAACAGATTAAGGCAAACCGCCACGTCGTCAACGGTGGCCCCCATTTAATGTATTAAACTGGAGCTATTCAAGTATTACCCCCACCATGAGGGGTGGGGGTCTGTGTTTTGCTTATTTTGGATGATATGGGGGGTAGGGGAGTCTAGATGATGATTACGTCATCGATAGTTATTTACTTTTCTACACGAATGGCAACCCTCATATTGAAATTGTAAATTACAAGCAAAGACCGACAAAGAACTAGACATTATGGTATCTAAGAGAATATTAAAATTACAATTATAAAAAAGATATAATTTAAAATGTTTACGTAAGCAAAAGGGGAGGGGGTGGGATCTTTACTTACTTTTGCTGATAAGGGGGATGGGGGGGTTTATTTTTTTTAAGGGGGCAAAATCATCGAATGACTGCTCCCGCCTGGGTGAGGCGGGAGGGAGTGTCAGACTCTTACTGACTAAAGACCACCCCGTTCCGTCTCCTGCACCTCGAGTCGGAGCCCCGGTTACCCGTTAGGTTCTCCGCGACATGGGGGGGGGGGGGTGTAAAAAATTGTTAATGATCTGCTTACGTAATATTTGAACGGCCCCACTCCTCTGATGTCGCGGGTGTCCATAAGCGACGACATGCTTACCACCAGGTAACTGATTTGTGAACTTAGCAATCCCATAAAAACGAAAACCACATACCTTCAGCGTCAAATATCCATCGTTATCCATGGTGTAAGCAAGATGTAGCTTCGCGTCATGCATGGCGCGTCCCCAGCGCAACGCGACGCGAGCGACAGCGGCACAGCGACGCAACAACGGAGGAATGTCTGACGCCACGCAGCACGAGCCGCGACACACGCGCGACACCATGTACCGCATCGTTTCACATGCGAAGCGAACACACATCGTTGCTACGGGATTTTTCTTATCTGAAAATTCAAATTAAAAGTACCGAAAGATTTATTATTTTGATTACATTTTTTGCAAGTCACTAGCTACTTCCGCGCGGTTTCACACCCTCTGCTCAGCTCTTATTGGACGTAGCTTGATGTTTTATAGCCTACTAGATTTTACCCGCGGCTTCGCTCGCGTCACAAAAGGATGAAAAGTAGCCTATGTGACATGCACCAATACACACAGCGCCATCTATACTAATACTTTTGTTTTCCCTCGGGAACATCCATTTTTTCCGGGATAAAAAGTACCCTATTATTTAATCCGGATTTCTAACTTTACTTCTGCAAAAATTCAAAACAATCGGTTAAGTAGTTACGGCGTGAAAGCGGAACAAACAAACTCACTTTCCGATTTATAATATTATAGTAAGGATAGATATACTCGATAAATGCGCTATCCAACACAACAATAATTATTCAAATCAGACTTGTAGTTACGGAGATTAGCGCGTTCAAACAAACAAACAAAAAAAAAACAAACTCTTCCGATTTATATAAAAAAAAAAATATAATAGTACAAGATAAGATTACGATCCACCATTCGGTAGAGGGCGCCCTAGACATACATATGTTGACCAGATCGGCGATATATTAAAGCCAAATTCAAAGTGCCCTTAACCGACGAGCATGCATGAAAATATTGATGACTGTTGATGAAGCGAAGGAGGTATGTAGGAATCGTAGCTGTTCCATTACTGCTATCACCGCCTACTCTCATGGGACAAAGGCGTGAGGTTATGTATGTATGTATTGGAGGTCACATCCTTAATACCGAAATCACCAAATCTCCAATCCTAATCCCAATCCAATAGGCCGGCAAAGCACATGGATACCTTACCGCCGCCCGCGCGCCGGCGGCGTGCTTACAATCTTTTGTTTCCGAAGCAAAAAATACCTGCTGAAGCCGTGCGGTGACCTTTATGCTCATTCCTTCTCCGTGTGAGAAGGGACTTTTGTCCAGGAATTTAACAGTTACATGGTTATATCATAACGTTCGAGTGACATACTAAATTAAACTGTCAAACACAGCGAGGACACCGGTGATCGCAACCTATTGTTCTTTAATTGTGTCTGTAATGAATGATGGTAATCAACGACTTAATTATTAAGTTGATTTGATTATGAATATGAGCCTCCATCCTCCTCCGGAGTCTTATACAGTGGTCTGACCAAATACCCAAGGAGCTGGAGATACCCATGAATGAGACAGTGGCGACATCTATTGGCAAAATACGAGGGAGTGACGATCATCAGCAGTAAGGGGATCGACTAAGAAGATGAGCCTTTAGCATGGCAGGAGAAGGAACGGGGTGGTTTTTAGTCAGTAAGAGTCTGACACTCCCTCCCGCCTCACCCAGGCGGGATCAGTCATTCGATGATTTTCCCCCCTTAAAAAAAAAAGCATGGCTTGGAACTAGTCGAGTTTCTCATTAAACAGTTACGCGAGTAAGCCATAAACAGAATAATTAATTCAACATAATATCACGCCTTTTTATCCCCGAAGGAGTAGGCAGAGGTGCACATTGCAGTACTTAATGCCACTGTACAATCACTATTGATGTTATGAGTCCCATGTAATAATTAATTCAGTTACGTACTAATGATGATGAATGATACAGAATCCTGCTTACCATGTTGCACGGTTTCCACAGTAATATCCAGCACTGGCGTGTCTCCTCGCACCCTCGTCCTGGTCGCGTTGTCCAGGCGGTGCGCCAGACGAGCGGTCAGTCGTAACCGACCGTGCAGAAGACGGAATGACCACGTATCGGCTGACGATGACTCCCATTCGCATTCGTGACTCCTGGTATATAAATTATTAACTGTAGTAAACTATACGCCATAAAGATAAAAATGGTTTTTTTTTTGAGGGGGGGAATATCATCGAATGACTTCTCCCGCCCGCCTAGGTGAGGCCGGAGGGAGTGTCAGACTCTTACTGACTAAAAACCACTCCGTTCCTTCTCCTGCACGTCGACCCGGAACCCCGGTAACCCGTAAGGTTCTCCGCGACAGATAAAGATGGACAACAGCTAATTTATTGTGTAAATTATTATTCTAGTAATAATTATAGATGTGGTTAAAATTGTAGTGTGTAACTAGGTACCTACTTTACCTTATAGATATTGAAGTAACATTAAAAAAAACTATACTTCTACACAGTTTATCATTTTAACTGTCCATGCAAGCGATATTGACCCTTATACAATTAACCTGTGAAGTGTCAGAACACAGATCTCCGCGAGACACAATGTGTGGGAGAGCCATGCTTCGGCACGAATGGGCCGGCTCGACCGGAGTGATGTGGTATCACTCCGGTCGAGCCGGCCGAGCAGAAAACCGACGTGAAGCAACGCTTGTGTTGTGTGTCGTGTGAGTGAGGTTACCAATTACCCCTCTTCCCAGTCTCCCCAATCCCCTCATAATCCTCAAATTCCCAATCCCCAAAAGGCCGGTAACGCACTAGTAACTCCTCCGGTGTTCCAGGTGTCGGTGATTGCTTACCATCAGGTGATCCGCATGATCGTTTACCAGTTTGTTCCATAAAAAAAAATATTTAGGAGATGGTGGATATAAAAACATTATAATCAATGAAAACTTACCCCATGAACGGCAGCATATCGATCTTAGCGACAACATTGACGCCAGAATCAGAGTCACTCAAATTCGAACTTATTGCACTGATCAGCTCCGGGTGCCATTCCATCTTGCCAGCCTTTTGCATCTCTTGCGAAAACTGTTGAGAATGCGTCGAGGAACTATACACGTCTACCGCGTTCAAATTCTTACTGCTAGTGAACGAGCTGACAAAATCCAAGCTATTGCTGCCGACATCAGACTGCGATGGGTCTTTCGAGCATTCCGACTTCGGCATCAAAGCGTCTAACAAATGTTTGTCAATCCCAGAATCCACAGTGTGATATTCAGTTATTAACTGTTGTACAGTTATATTCGCAGGAGACTTCTTCTCTTTTTTCGGGGAACGTTTTTCAATAAACTTCGACGTGTTAGCTTGCTTCTCAGGCAATTCAGTCATGTCCTTCTCCGCAGCCAAATGCTTGATGTCTTCATGTATTTGGACTTTACATATTTTAGGAGTTATTGATATTTTCTGTATTTTCGTACTCGGTTTCGGCGTCACATCGAGAGACGAATGTGAGTTTTTATACTTATCTCTATCGTTCGGACTGTATAAACGTTTTTTGGCTTTAGTGCATAACGGAGAATGCTCCATCAATTCTTCTGTTGACTCTAGTTTCTCATTCTCTGTTTCGCTCTCTTCTTTGACGGGAGATTTTTTCTTACGACATGCTGTCATTTCATGCGAATGTATTGTGCTGTTACTGTGTATATTTCCGTAGTATCGAGGAGGGAGAGGGTCGTCAACTAGTGTTAGGGAAGAACTGGCTTCGAGTAACTCCTTGTTGCCTTTCATGGCAATCAGAGTGTTGGCTTCATTGTCTTTGACATGCAATGTCTGAGCCGCTATCGACTGGTCCGTTGAGATCGGTCTACTGTTACTAGAGCGCATACTTGGGTCTTCCTTACAACCGCCGTCTCCTTGCATGGCCTGCTGCCTCGACTCCACGCAAAATTGTGTCATCACGAGATCCACTTCATGCTCTTTTTTACGACTATCTTCGAAGTGAATCAACGCGGACCGGCTGGGTTCAGAGCCGCATAACGTATCATTAGATTTCTTAGGATTATACTTGTGGGCGTCCGAATAATCCATTGTACTTAGAAGGATGTTGTTTAAAGGATTCAAATGATCGAATACAAGCACTTTCGAAGGGATCGACTGTTCTATAGGCTGGCGATGAAAAATGTATCTCTGTCGCGGACTAGGAACCTCAAATTCAGATGATTTTTCAGAAGAATTAGATGTAAACTTCGCCGGACTCCTAAATGAACGTGATCTTGATTTATTCAGAGTATGGCCGGCTAACGAACTCATTTTATCGGATTCGTAATTCGACTCGGGGTACGAATCTAACTCGGAATCAATATCCACTTGGCTCGATGTGATTAGGTTAGCCTGTATCTGCGTGCTCTGCGTCGAAGGATTCTTCCTAACGCCTTTGTCGGCTGTACCGTCAAACGGCACGTTATCTGCCATAGGCTTCACTAGATCCAGCATGAGCTCCTTTATACCATCAGAAACATCTTTCAGGTAGGTCGGAATGACTTTAGCTTTACTTTCTATCATGTACGAAGTTTCCCCGAAAGCAGTTTTCTTTAGAGGGGAGTATTTTATATCTGCCTTGATGTCGTTCTCGCTCAGAGACTCGTCGTCAAAGTGCAAAGTCTTTACAACTTCATTGCTCGTGCGATCAGCTTTTTTGGACGAGGCAGTTGAGAAGTCTTTAGTATCATCCACGCATTCGCTGTCATCAAGCGCTAACCGCGACTTCTGCAGCGCTGCTTGCGCCATAGAGATGTTATTCAACAAATCTTCTCTACTCAGTACAATAGACTGGCGTCTTGGAGCAAAACTCAGCCTTTTAGGCTCAACCACCTGAGCCTTATCCTCTACAGGCGGTGGACCTTTGACTTTCATGACAATCGGTAGATATTCGTCCTCGTCTCTCTCAGTAAAATCGGATATCATATCCAGCAACTCCTTAGTATCGTTAGCTTTTTTGAAAATCTCACTCCGCTCCCGTATTTTGGATTTCTCTTCTTCTCTGACGGCATGTTGGATATCAGAGTTGACGACTCTCTCGTAAAATTCGTTTATTATTGAAGGATCTTTCACTTTTGTTATTGATGTTTTTAATTCTTCTATCTTCTTTTCAAGGCTACTGATTTCTTCGTCGTCTTCTTTGTATGCTATTGGGGTCGACGGATTGTCTTTAAGCGATGCTTCAGAGCTCTTTCCATCTCTGTCAGTCTGTGTGTCATCCTCGCTATCTTTCGTCACATAAAACATGCTTTCGCTAGAAATATTACTTGTCTTTTCATCTCTCTTTTCTGAAACGGTATGCGTTGAGTCTAACTGGGTCATTAGATCCTTATCCTCCGTGCCTCCCTCAGTGATGGACATATCGAGTAGAGCATCGAGTACAGACTTCCCGCTCTCGATTTTTACCGATTCTTTCGCTTCTACACTTTCAGGTTGTGTTTCAGGGACATCGTCTGTTTTCTTGTCAACGTCCATTGCTGAATTGTTTGTTTTGAGAACTAATTGGTCACTTCGCTCGGCCACTCTCGGGTGCATGAGCGAGACATCCTCACTGTCCAACTCTTCTACAGACTCAGGACAATCTTTATTATCTGAAGTTGTTATCTTGGAGTCCGTAGCGCTAGTCACTGATTGGTTTTTCAGATCCCCTTGTTCGGTTAAAGCTGGCGGCGCACTATTGGCCGTCGCTGTTTGGTACACTAAGACATCGGTGGGTGGATTCCCAGTCTCTAGATTGTCTGCGCATTTTGATTTGTCCATAATTTCATTTTCAAGATGAACTAACTCTGCTGGTATGGGTTTTGTAATCGACATGTTACAGCTATCGTCATTGTCGTATAGAACAGTATTTTTAACTTCTTCCTGTACTTCTACTTTCGCTATAGCTTCTATTATGGACATATTACCATCTCCTTCATGTGAATGTATATTCTTTTTATTATCTAAAGGGGTTTCTTCCTTTGCCACTGGCATTTCTTCATACGTCTCATAATTGATCACATTCTCATCCACCTCTTCAACTATCTCTGGCAGTTTAACACTCTGTTCGACTGCTGAATCTAGTTTGTCTAAAAGGAAGACATTGGTAGATAGCGCAAGAGTCATCGATTCGTCAGCTTCATCATCATCATCAAAAACAATAGTCTTTTTCATATTAACAGTCTCATCAATAATTTTTGAGGACACAGCTTCGGTCATAGACACATCATCATCTTCTTTATCGGCGACAATAGTCGTTCGTTTGGGATTCTCCAGTAACTTAGTAAATGAGATATCATCGCTACTTGTCTTGCAACTCTCCTCGCTACTCTCAGCTATAATAGGGGCGGGAATCGCTTGCGTTACAGATATATTGCCAGTATCATTTTCGTAGACAATCGTCCTCCTTCTTTTATCACTGTCTTTAGGTGAGCATCGAATGTTGGTAGCAAAGAAATTAAATTGATCGGTAATTTGAACTCTTTCTAGAATTACGTTCGATTGTAGAGCTTGTGTGATGGAGATGTTGCCAGTTTCGTTACCATAGACGACTGTTCGTCTTCTTTCGGGTGCGGGGTCTGCTTGTTCGAGTATCAGATTCGTTGGTAAAGCTTGTGTTACTGAAATATTGCTTATGTCGTCTTCGTAAATGATCGTGCGGCATCGTTCCTGCGCCGGTTGTTCAGGCAACATTATATTAGCAGGCAAAGCTTGTGTAACGGACACATTGCCTGCATCATCATTGAAAACTATAGTATTTCTTTTTTCTTTTGCGTTGTCCAGGATAACGTTGGTAGGCAACGACTGCGTAACAGATATGTTCGCTTGTTCATCTTCAAAAACTATAGTTTTACGTTTTTCTTTAGTCTTATTATCGAGGATAACGTTGCTAGAGAGCGCCTGCGTAACAGATATGTTCGCTTGTTCATCTTCAAAAACTATAGTTTTACGTTTTTCTTTAGTCTTATTATCCAGGATAACGTTGCTTGGTAATGCTTGTGTGATTGATATATTCGCTTGAGCATCTTCAAAAACTATCGTCTTTCGCTTCCCTCTATTTGAAGTTTCATCAACCAGAATATTAGTGGGAACGGCCTGTGTCATTGATATGTTACCAGTATCATTCTCGTACACAACAGTACGACGTCTATCACTTGGACCAGGGTCGCAAAATAGTTTAGCTGGCAAAGACTGTGTTACAGATATATTGCCCATACTTTCGTTAAACACTATCGTTCGTCGTTTACTCGAACCGTCATTCGCAACCGCGGTATCACTTATGATATTAGTCGGCAAAGCTTGGGTCATTGATATATTACCAGTCTGGTTTAGAGCAGCTTTCTTTGGAACATCAACAGCGAAGGAAGTAGAGCCGCCATCCCTACTAACGAACGCAGAGTTATCACATTTCGAATTGAGCATATCATCGACAAAATTCGGCAAGTCATCGTTTACGTTCAGCACTATAGTCTTCCTCTGTGGAGTCTCAAAAGAGGTTGACGGCAATAGAGTCTGTCTGTAATTCTTCTCAGTTTCTGGCTCCGGTTTATCAGGCTGCAAAGTTAAGCGTTTACCATCGAAAACTAGGACTTGATTCGGTTCTTCATGGACGGCAAAATTATCCGCTTCGCAAGGTGTAACATATGGATTAACAGCTATATTCTCTTTATCAGCTGCCCAATCAGGATTTAGACTAACTTTCTTATCTATCGAAGTACTTTTGGAAACATCTTGAACGGGACTGTGGATTGTATCCGTGATAGACATGTCCTCATCATTGCGCGCGACATGTGTCATGTTAAGATCAACTTCAATATACTCGGACAAACTCTGTCGACTGCTAAACGGACCGTGACACCCCATATTACTAGGTCCCCTCTCTAAATCCCTCTCAATCTCATCCAAATCATCTTTCTGACCTATCTCCTGTATATTTGAGAAATTAACATCGATACGACCAGAGTTCTCACCTATGGTGGACGCAACGAAGTCATTTCCAAACAGTTTACTTTGCTGTTCCGTAAAAGTGCTTAGTTCGAATTTATTTAGGGGAGCGGTGAGCTTCGTGTCCGTTGTACAGTCGAGGGAAGCAAGTTGTTGGGTGAAATTGATGTTGTTTAAGGAGCCATTGGACATAAGTGAAGGATTGACGTTCCCTATAAAGTCGACTGCCTCAACTTCTTCAAATTGTTGGTCAAATATTCGTTTCCCTAAATGTCCTACAGGCTGTCTAGATGCATTGGCTTCGGAATCGTTACTGGAAGATTCTAGCGATTTGTTATGTTCCTCGTAAAAATTCTTCCAAGTTGTCGTCGCTTCGTTCGTTACGAATTCGCTGTGGACAAGTACGATGGGTAATTTTAATGAAATTAAATCAGGTAGGCACATTACGGTGTAGGTATATTATTTAATTTTAGAGAAATATTTTGAATTTTCAACAAAACAATTTGTTTTTAATTTTACAAAACCTTTTAGGGATGCTAAACTTATCATAGAAAGTGTGGGAGAGCCATGCTTCGGCACGAATGGGCCGGCTCGACCGGAGTGGTACCACGGCCTCACAGACGACTGAATTGAAACGTGACGTGACGCATGCGTTGTTTCGTCGTGTGAATGAGGTTACGCGAGGCCCAATTACCCTCCCCTCCTTACCCAATCCCTGAATCCCTAACAATCCTCAAATCCCTAATCCTAAAAGGCCAATAACGCACTTGCAACGCCTCTGGTGTCCCAGGTGTCCATGGGCGACGCCGATTGCTTACCATCGGGTGATCTGCCTGCCCGTTTATCAGTTTTTCCCATAAAAAAGTAGTCAACTATCATGATTTGTAAAATCTCTAAAAAGGTTAGACAGATGTGAACATTTAAAATATAACAATCTTCTATTATGCTCACTGTTCTTATGAGTTTCAAGTAACAAGGACTGAGTATAAAGGTGAAAGAACACTTATCCGAACCGAACTCATACTTCTGATTCGGACAATTCGATGCGGGGAATTGTGTGTGTGTGTGTGTGGATTCATGAGATTTCACATAGAGAAATCTGAAAATCGTTTTGTTTTACACATTCAACAAGTTCGGTTAAGTGTGTGTCCACCTAAAATAAAGTAATACTTACACAAAGTGAAAAAACCTAAGTAGTTTCCTAAATTTTATTTCAATGTCCGTCTGGTACATTAATTTAAAACTTTCGCAACGTATTTTTTCATTACTCACAAAATTAAATATTTTTGACGATATATTAATTTGAAATATTGTGTGACGTCACAGCGTGCCACGTTTTGTAGCACGCTATGACGTAACAACTTCCCACTCCTTAACTTGGCTCCATTTTATCTAAGTATCGCAAATTAATATGAGAAAATAAAAAAATACGTGTCTAATATTTTTTCATTATCTAACTGACGGATTAATTAGAATTTTAATTTTGGTACCCTGGAAACTACCCAATTGTGACCATTATAACAATAAGATGGTCTGAATGGTGTATGAAAATAATTAAACGGCAGTAATCAACTTACGCAACACCTGTTCTTCTAGAAAAGCTGACTCTTCGACTCTTAGCGGTGTCAGTCGGAGTGGCAACATTAAACTCAAGCTCGGAGAATGGGGTGCGGGCTGGACGTTGGCTCTTCAGTATTGATGATCTGCGTTTTCTACTGTAAATATATATATACAAATACATAAAATACATGATTTTAGTATTAATCTTACTATAATATTATAAACTAGATGTTGCCTGCTAATTTGTCTACATAGAATATGAATCCTTACTAATATTATAAATTGGAAAGTGAGTTTGTTTGTTTGTTCCGCTTTCACGCCCTAACTACTAAACCGATTGCTTTGAATTTTTGCAGACGTAAAGTTAGAAGTCCGGATTAAATAATAGGGTACTTTTTATCCCGGAAAAATTTGATATTCCCGAGGGAAAACGAAAGTATTGGTATAGATGGCGCTGTGTGTATTGGTATATGTCACATAGGATTTTATCCTTTTGTGACGCGAGCGAAGCTGCGGGTAAAAGGTAGTTTTAAAATATAAGTAACACATATTTTTGTTTCAATTATCCAAAATAAAAGTAGCCTATGTTACTCTTAAGCCCATATATCCCCAAGCGGTCACCGGTAACCGCTGTCCAATAACTACATTATAGACCTTATTTCCAATGTTTAGAGACTACTTTTGTATGAACAAATTTAGGGGATGATTTTCAACAATTTTCAATGGGTTAGTACATCAGCAAAATAAAAGTCTTACGGTTCAGTCATTCCAGAGATTAGCCAGTACAAACAGACGGACAAAAATTTAACAAAATGTCATTTCGGTATGTGTATCGTATGTATATTCATATGCATGTAGTAAAAAGTGGTTAATATTACAAACAAGCACTCCAGAAGAAATATGCAGGGTTTTGGAAATAGAAAAGAAGAAAACAAAAGGAAATACTGACCAGATTGGGAATATATTAACACATTGGATGCCATGTCAGACAATGATGCCCGACGCTAATGGAGGCTCAAAGAAGGATCAAACTAAAAGTGCCCTTAACTGTGGAATATGCATGAAAAGATTGATCACTGTTGATAAAGCGAAAGAGGTATACATAGAAATCATAGCAATTGGCATTCCACAGTCTCTACCTACCCCCATGGGAGACAGGCATGAAGTTATGTATGTATATGTGTGTATAAAGGAATAGAGTATAAGACAAAGCTAGGTACTTAATCAGGAGAATCAAACAGTATAAAGTCAGAGAACCATAATAGTTTGTTAATTTAAACACGCTTATCTCAGGAACTACAGGTTTGAATAGAATAATGAATTCTTTTAGTGTTGGATAGCCCATATTAAGAAAGGCTATAAAACATCACGCTGGGATCATAGGAGTACTCTCATATAATAAGAAACATGTTATAAGTATTCCAACATGTTATTAGGCAATGAATCTTATAATGTTATAAAAATCCACTTCGAGGGTCATGAACCATCGTAAGCAGGATAGAATGAACCATCGTAAGCAGGATAGAACAAACCATAAAACCATTTAAAAGAAGTTTGTACAACGCCAAGAGGCTATAATTACATATTATTTGGAAATACAACTTACGTCGCCGCGGCATCAGATGCCCTACTCTGTGCTGTATCATCCATTATATCAGTCACTAAATTACTTAAATCTAACAACAAACCACATTGAACTCATCACTTTATTCTCATAAACTAAGAATAAACGAATATTTATTTGTTTATTTCCAAACAAAGTCTTTCAAAACACAACGGCCGCGGGCATTCAAAATTTGACTTTGACAGTTTTTAATTTTAAACCGAGTGTTTTTTTAATGTGGCTTGTTGTCGATCGAAACCAAGGCTTTTGAGATACGGTGGTGTTGTTTGCTATATACTTGTCGATTAAAAATAATATTGGCGTATTCATTAATAGTACACGTACATAAAAAAATAAAATTATCATCTGAATTAATTTATCAATTTTTCTCAAATCTACGTGGCTATCAAGCATACATTTTTTTCTGACAAGCAGAAATAGGAAATTAACTCATTTTAAAGCGGTATCGTAAAATAAAAGTACTTACAAGAAAACAAACACAACACAGAGGGCAGTGATTGCTAGTAGTGTTGTGTACACAGAACAAATAGCTAGCCAAATGAGAACAATGGCATAGTCTACACTCACTGAATCAGACATTAGAAAGCATAGCAAATATCACAACATTGCTTCTTGTAAAAACTAAAAATTTCAATTAAATTAACTGCATAATTTTACTACTGGGGATCCGAACATGACATTTTGTCAATAACGAGAATGAGACATTCTTCTTTTTCTCTTGCAAAATGAATGTCAAATTTTCTTACTGGCTTTGGTAGAAACTAAGGTTTTATTCTGAAGTCTATACTCGGTTTCTAGAGGGCAAAGGAACTTTTTGAGAACATTTATGCTACGCTACTATTACGACACTACGTCTACGACCTTACATGTATTGATGTTGCAAGATATTAGTGACTGTTGTACTTCTACATCCCCTATACTTATTATACTCTTTGCTTCTACCACATTTAAGACAATGAAAAGATGTTTCCATTGTCTATTTTTCTCCATATTTTCTCTATAATTTAGAATTGGTATGCAAATGAGCTGGCGTGTCTTAGGCAGACGTCCAAAATGCTCATATTAACATTTTTCAAACATTCAATGACAAGATTATTAAAGTAAAATAAAACACAGTCTGGTTTTAATAATACTAGTATATTTATGGTAATGGTAATGAGATTTAATCATCCATATCAGAAACGGTGGTGTAAGAAGTTGTACGTGTAAAAGATGAGTTCGTATCAGACGACTTTGAAACAGCACGAGACCTTGGGGGATTCCTGCAAAAAAAAATGTTATTAGTCCTTCTTGTATGTATTAGTTTTTAGAATAATGCCACAAACGGTGCAAACGAGTACACGAACGGTATGACGGTACACGGATGTGTGATAAGTACTGCCAATGGACACCCGCAAGCCGCAACACTAGTTACACTGACAACGATAAAAGTCGTCAGCAAACTTACAAATAACAGACTTTCTCTTTTGTATTATAGATGAAAATCTATTAAAGATATTCACGACACAGTGATTCAGTCGGGAAAAATGTCGAGATTTCTGGCCAAGAATAAAAAATGGGGTCTACCGTATTTTTGCTCACCACATATCGACCTCTCGGTCTTCGTCCAATAGGGAGTTAGCTAATGTCGCACTATCGGACGTTTAATATTTGACAGCTGCAGTGATTGGGCAATAAAACCCCGTCCTACATTTGCGTCATCTGGTGAGCAAAGAAACGTTAGCCCCATTGAAAAACCTTTTCTTATTCTTCCCTCTAGGACCTCTAGGGCGGAAGTTTTTTGGTGGTTCACGTTTCTTCGGCGTCTTCTTCCGTTGCTTCTTCTTGCTCCTTCTATCATCATCATCGTCCGAAACGGTATGATCTGACTCATTCGAATCATTATTATATTTCCGACGACTTGATTCCATTCGCTTCTGGCGAGCCTTATAAATCTCGCACGAGTCTCTCGGCATAATCTTCCAATTTCCTTTGCCTTCGCTTTGATGATACTTCTGAAAATAAGTAAGAATAATTTATGTGATTTGTTTTAATTTTGGTTTTCTTCACGTGAAAAACGTGGAGAAAACCCGAAATCTTTCTTCTTTCCTAAACATAGGTTTATAAATTCAATAAATTATGGGCAAGGGCAAGTGAAAATGGACTTCAACGTAGAGGACTAAGGAGGAGGCCTTTGTCCAGCAGTAGACGTCTGACGGCTGTTAATGATGATGATAATGATGAAAATGGCCAACAATATTTTAATTTTACTAACTTTTTCGCGAAGGATTTCATTTAAATTTTCAAGAAAAGGTCCGGAAGAAATGGCATCGTTGCTACCCCAACCAAATCTTGACCACCTATTTTTGTATCTGTTTTTATTTATTCTTTCGTATGACTTTTCCTTATTTTTTGATCGTCTCGAGGATCTCATTTTTCTGATCTAAAATGTAAATGCTTAAAAAAGTTATTGAAAATTTCGGTTCGTTTGTGTCAAAAATTTTTAAATGACACACCGAGTCACGCGATCTTCTACTTTTGTTTAGAATAATCCGAGGAAAGAAACGTAGATTCCATTTGGAAACACTGAGTACCTATTGCAAAGAGTATAATTAATAAGTAGGTATAGGGAAAACCTATTGTATACTGAATAGTTTTACACAAATTTGTTTAAAGTTTCCGAATCAGTCAAGCAATGGACTTCATTTATAGGTTTATGGAGATGAATTCTATTTAGTTTTAATTTAAATATTACAAAAGTTTTTAACAAAATATTTATAGTACTTTTGATATTTTCACAGTATTCATCAGGTTTTATAACATCGTATCATATTTAATATTGCAATATTAAACGCAAAAAATCTCGAAGGCTACCGTGAAACGAAACGTCGTAATGTCATATGACTATTGAAGTCGGAACTACCAACATAATCAGTGCGTCCACCATTTTTACGCAGCTGATGTTTGTTTGAGATAAAATAATTTAGAATTCTTTCTAAATAAAATCTCAAAATGGGTGCTTCTTTCATCCCCATCACTGTATTCACTGTCCTGTGGGGCATTGTGGGTATTGTATGCCCATTCTTCGCCCCTAAAGGCCCAAACAGAGGGTAAGTTTTTGCACCTCATAGTCCTATGAAATTTTGTCATAATTTGTGCTATAAACTGTGTTTCGTTACTCTATTTCAGGATTATCCAGGTGGTTTTGATGTTAACTGCCGCCACATGCTGGTTATTGTAAGTATTAATTGTTTTATAAGCTAATTTTTACTTATGTGAGTCACGATAACCAAACCTTGAATTGGTCAGTTGATTTCTCTTTGAAAACAACCAGTCTCGTGATCTGATATCTTATAAGAAGTCTCTTTAGACAACAATATACCAATACCTACAATTTATATTTATTTAGCTGAAATGTAAGCCGTTTATAGTATATAGTTTCCGATTAGACTTACTAAGTAGAGCAAATTGAAAAGTAGTTAGTAATCATGATTATAGATTTCGTTAAATAATCGTAAAAAGTAATTAAACATTTTGATTACTAACTAGTAATTGTATTTGTAATCACGATTACGAGATTTCTTTTCATAAGTACACATTTAAAATAATATTGCGTTTTGTAAAAAAGCTAAAGCCATAGCTAAAATATTATTTTTTTACATTTACTTAAGGCTAATTTGTATGATTAGCCCAATTGACATATATTTTAGTTGATTCGCAAAATGTTCATATTGAATTAAAGTTGTAAATTAAACTGAAGATTTTGAATGCAGTCAGATCACAAAGCTTATCTAGCAACACATTACACTGTGCAAAGATGCAAAATATTAAACTAAAAAGACAAATAATCAGTATTTATGACGACTAAATTCCAGTAAGCAAATTAATAACTACTTCATGAAGTTAGATTGCTTTAGTTAAGTTACAAAACAGTTACATGAAGTAAAATTCTTTTAACCTTTTGAGCGCCAATGTCACAAATACGTGACCAGCGAAACACTGTCCCAGGACGCCAACGACACAAATACATGACAGAAAAAGCGGAAATGGAAACACGAAATCAACGATTTGATTCCCCATTGGAATCCCTATTTCTTTTGTAGAAAATTGCGCGGAATTTGTGGCTTGGCGTTAAGGGCAGGTTCATGTATTTTTGCTCTGGCGTTCAAAAGGTTAATCATAGTTATTAATCAGATCACAAAATAGTAGTTAACTACACCCAACACTGTAGAAATCAATACTAATATTATAAAGAGGAAAGATTTGTACCTATTTTTGTATGTTTGTAATGAATAGGCCCAAAAAAGTACTTGGCCGATTTAAAAAAATCTTTCACCAATAGAATGCTACATTCTTCCAATTTGACATAGGCTAAATTTCATTTTGAAAAAAAATTAGGGATCCTTGGTAAAATTTGAACAATGTAACTGAAGCTGTAGGAAAATGAGTCAAAAAAAGTCTTTCGTCGAATGCGCTGCCGAAACTATTAGCGATAGAACAAAATAAAAAAAAACAATGTTGAAGAACATCATAATGTCTACAAAAAACTCCGCAGTAGCAAAAAAAAAACTATTGTAGTTATGTCACTACAACAATCCAAATTTCCAAAAATAAATAATTGTCTACCCCGTGCGACGCCGGGACGGGCTGCTAGTATTAAATAAAGTGCTGGTTTTAGTAATATCATATTATGATATAGTGTGTATTGTGAATTTCACAATGGACAAAAAAAAATCTCTTACCCCCCAAGCGGTCACCGGTGACCGCTTTCCACTAATATTACATTACATTATAGACCTCATTTCTAATGTTTAGAGATTACTTTTGTATGACCAAATTTAGGGGATGGATTTCAACGGGTTAAATTGGAAAATATATAACATAATTTTGTCACCAAAGGGGTAGGCAGAGGTGCACATTACGGTATTTAATGCCATTGTATAATGCAACACCCACTTTTCGCTATTTATGTTATAAGTCCCATGTAATAGGGGGTGAGCATATTGCCACATACTGGGCACAATTGCAGACTCCGTGTAGTTACTTAGAATTTTTGAAAAAACCGATTAATACTTTGCCCGACCCGGGCAATCGAATCCGAGCCCCCAGCCCGGCAGTCGCACTTGCGACCACTTGGCCAAAGAGGCAATCAAGTCAATGGAATATAAGTATAAGACCATTTTGCCTTTTTTATAATTTGTTCTTACAAGTTACTAAAAGTATTGTACTGTGTATTCCAGCTGGCTGTGTGCGTATATGGCGCAAATGAACCCCCTGATTGGACCCAGACTTAACAACGAAACACTTATCTGGATGGCAAATACCTGGGTGAGTTATACATCTTATTTTTATTTCCTTTATTTATTTATATACTCGACCTATATATTTTTAAATATTTGATTATAAAAAAAAAACATTTAAAAATATAAAAAGCAGTAGCCCACCAGTAACGGGAGAAATCCAAGCTACCGGTGGTCAGGGCTCCAGAGAAAGGAATTTCTGGACAAAACGCGCCGTATCCAGAAGTACTGCTTCCTGCATCAGCCCCTTGACCCAACCATCTAACGCTAGCCTACTCAGATGTTTCGAGGCTTTTAGCAATGGGTTATTTTTATTATTATTTTTTAATGTTGACTCGTTGATACTGGGTACGTTTACCATCATACAAATTGGCATACCCATGACACCCAGACCCGAAACAACAATATGTGAATCACACAAAGAGTTTCTCCGGAACCGAATCCATTACACGTTGCGCGGCAACCGTCCAGTCTGTAATGGTTACTGCAGTTCATTTTCTAAGTGAGAGTCCTAGAATGACCTACGTGCTGTTTTGTCGCTATATTTTAGGGGGCAGTTTTTTTTATGGCATAAGCCGGTAAGCTGACGGATCACCTGATGGTAAGCAATCGGCGTCGCCCATGGACACCTGGAACACCAGAGGCATTACAAGTGTGTTACCGGCCTTTTGGGGATTAGGAGTTTGAGGATCGTTGGGGATTCAGGAATTGGGGAGATTGGGGAAGGGGAGGGTAATTGGGCTTCCGGTAACCTCACTCACACGACGAAACACAACGCAACGTTGCTTCACGTCAGTTTTCTGCTCGGCCGTGGTATCACTCCGGTCGAGCCGACACATCTCTCTCCCACACTTTTTTTAAAACTCACATGAAAATACTAAGAAAAACTCTACTAGTTTCGAACCACAGAGGGGTTCTTCCTTGCGTTCACCATCAGGTGATCCGTCTGCTCGTTTACCGGCTTAAGCCATAAAAAAACGTTGCCCCACCAGAATTTGCTCCTGTATCGTCGGTCCAATTACAAACATGACACCCAGACCCGAAACAACGATTTGTGAATCACACATCGTTGCTACGTGCGGGAATCGAACCCGCTACCCGTTGCGTGGCAACCGTCCAGTCTGCAACGGTTACTGCGTTTCGTCTTCTATGTGAGAGTCCCAGAATGCCCCAACCGCTGGTTGATCGCTCTGTGTTACAGTGACATTAAGTGGTGTTACATTGAGCAATCGTCCGACCACATGGTCGCCCAATCACATAAAAAAGGAAGTAAATTGAAGTCGGTTTTTTTAAACATAATTTATTGAAAACTAGCTTTTACCCGCGGTTTTGTCCGCGTACTCCTGTTTCATCTCTCGCATTTAATCGACATAAAAAGTCCTATCACCTAAGTCAGGCCATACATATTGCCCCTATACGAAATTTCATCAAAATCTGTTCAATAGTTTCAGAGTGATTGACGGACAAACATCAAAACAAAGAAACTTTCGCATTTATAGCACAGTCTATATATTTGTTTTATTCACCAATCAACACTTGAATTACAAAGTAAAGTTGTTTTTCTCGTTGCGTTGCGAACTGGCAACGTCTTATTGCAGCGTCTCACGTGAGCGTCCGACGCGTGCGCATTGACGCAAACACTTTATTGATCTTACTTCACTCCTTTATTGTATTACAGTGCATTGATTTCATTCTTTATTATTGTTTCCATGTTGCATAATCGAATTGTAATGAAAATCACGTGCTGGATCGATTCCCGCTCGTAACAATAGGGTAGATGCCTAATTTTTATTTCAATGTCCGTCTGGTAGATTATTTTAAATCATTAGACACGTATTTTGTATTTTCTTACAGAAACGAATACTTTCGACGATATATTGATTTGAAATGTCGCGTGAAGTCACTTCTATGTACATTTTATACGTAGAAATGACGTTTTAGCCCCCACTCCTGTCCTAAGCTTTGATCCGTTTTATCTAAGTATTGTTTTATGATACGACAAAACAAAAAAATACGTGTCCAATATTTTCATTACCTAACTGACGGACTAATTACATTTTTAATTTTCATATCCGGTCATCAGCCCAATTCTTTGTGTGATCTACAAATTGTTATTCCGGGTCTGGGTGTGGGTGTCATGTGTATGTGAACTTGTATGTTTGTATCCACGACACAGGAGACAATTCTAGTGTGGGGCAATGTTTTTTAAAATTACGTCACTACTTCGTGAAAGGCTGTGACACTGGTGCATAGAGCCTAAATGGGCCTCCGGTAACCTCACTCACACGACCAAACACAACGGCCGTGGTATGACTCCAGTTGGGCCGGCCCATGCGTGCCGAAGCATGGCTCTCCCATACTTGAAATGTGGATAGGTTGAGTAAGATCATAGGCCACTTTTCTTCTTGATACCTACATATTACGGTACCGTGAGATAATTGTGAACTAAACGAACTTCTATTCTTTTCTTGGGTGTTGTAAGAGCCGACTAAGGAATTTACTATGGACTAAAACCTAAATATCCTGTAATGAACCACCCGCTATTGATGTGTGATGTGGAGCAAACGAGGTCACTAGCAAAAAACAACCAAAACAAAAAATAAGTTACCAGAGGTCCAATCCTTGAATCCTAAAAGGCCCCACCAGAGATGGGGTCCATTAGGGCTGATGCCGATACAGAGCCGCGAGGGACTTAACGGGTAACCGGGGCTCCGGCTCGAAGTGCAGGAGTAGGAACGGGTTGGTTTTTAGAGTCTGACACCCTCTCGTCTTACCCGGGCGGGAGTCATTGGATGATTTGCCCCCACAAACACAAAAGCCTAAAAGGCCGACAACGCACTTATAATTCCTCTGGTGTTGTGTGCTTGGCGGCGCCGATTGCTTACTGTCAGGTAATCCGTCTCGTTTCACTCGTATGCCACCCCGCCCTATCTCATGAAAAAGGTATCTACTATTTCTCTACGCATAGGTGCTTACATTTACATGTACCTCTGCATCGGTTATCATATCGTTATGTAATTATACTTAATAGTGTTTTGCACAGATTTTATCTGACAACTTGACACGCACTTGACTTTAATTTGCGTAATGCAGGTACATTGTGTGATAAGATACCATTGATGGTCATTAGCGATCGATTTTTGACCAAATTCCCTAAATGAGAGGTGGTTTGTTCAATGGTTGTTCACAAAAAAGTTGAGAAGAACAGAAAATTAATTGTTTCCTTGTTTTCAATTTTTTTGATCATCATCAACAGCTCATTACATTTCACTGCTAGATAATGAGCATCTACATTCGACATAGATTTTGCAAGCGTTACTTGTTCTTCACTCTTTATTTCAGGTCACAGTTTAATGTCTAGGCCAATTTTACCAACATCAGATAAATTTTAACTCATTTGAATATTTGACGATTCTCCCAGACTAAAAACTGTTAAATGTAAATTTTATTGTACAATTAAAAATCAACTGATGATTAAAAAATGGACCCTAAAAGGTTCAGGTTTATCAGAGAGCGTTCGCTTACGAGATTCGCGAGACATTTAGACTAATGTACTCTGTCGCGGAGAACCTAACGGGTAACCGGGGCTCCGGCTCGACGTGCAGGAGAAGGAACGGGGTGGTTTTTAGTCAGTAAGAGTCTGACACTCCGTCCCGCCTCACCCAGGCGAGAGCAAGAATTCGATGATTTTCCCCCCTTAAAAAAAAGACATGTACTCTAGTCTACCGTCAAGGTCAACCACACTACACAAAACAACGTGTCGCCTAACCCAGAGCAGGAGAAGTTATTGAATAATTCTCCCCACAAATAAAACCTGTACGCACGGCGGGCAACAACGCTTTTGTTTTGTTTTGCCGTGTTGGTGAGGTTTTCGAAGACTCAATCTTCTAATCTTTCGCTGTTAAAATCACTGACATCTAGAATGCTGGGAACGTGTTTGTAACGCCTCTGGTGTTAGGTGTCCATGAGCGGGGCTAATTGTTTACCGTCAGGTGATCCATCTCCTTGTTTGCACCTTCTTCCCCAAAAAAACATCGTTACATAGCTAGCACTATTCTTAACCAATCGCAGTTTTAGGACAAACACGACCTCTAGTTTCACTGTTATCGATTTACTATTTTTTTTAAAGGGAGTGTATACAAAGAAGGGGCGTGTCCGTTGTGTCACTGCGCATTTCAATAAGCATAATATTGCATCGCCTTTGCCTTATCTAAGTGACCTATTAATTAGATATTATGATACTCGTGTAATCGGCTTCCTGTTTTCTCTTATGCACTTAATAATGTCTTTTTAAGAACATAAGATACGATTGGATTACCGTATGCCTTATGTTTTTGGGTGGGGTAAATCATCCAATTACTTCTCCCGCCTTGCGACTGGGACTCTTACCGACTAAAAATCACCCCATTCGTAGGAATGGGGCGATTTGATGAAGCTGGAGTAGCCGACAATGTCTTTTCCTGGTGTTCAGTTACCGTTGATGGTCGTAGTTTATCATATAAAAAACAGTTCTTTCCTAAGGAGGTTTTAAGTAGGTGTAATCGCACTCATACAATTTTCTGTATATAATAACAATGCTGATACAACATAATGTGATATATTTTCTCCTATTTATCGTGCTTTATTGGAGGTCAAGGTTACTTGGTCACGTTTATGACTGGTTTATAAATTATCACGTTTTGCATTGTCCAGTTTAAGTTGATAGCTCTGTGGTTCTTTTTTTAGTACTAGCCGTATTTATATGTTAAGCCGTTAATTCCGAAGTTCACAGGAAAACTCTCTATAGTCTTATTTAGGTTACCACCATTGTTCTGGCTAAAACTAAAAGCAGAATTAAAAGCTTTGATTGACGTCGCTTACATATGAATGTTATTAATTGTTTTATTTGAGAATCAGCGCATCTTCTGCCCTAGTTTTAAAAGTTACTATTTCCAAATCTACTATATAAAAATAAGTCGGGTTTTCCTTCCTGACGCTATAACTCCAGAACGAACGAACCGTTGGAAAGGCCTCGGGCTCCGTGAGGTTTATAGCAAAGAAAATTCAGGAAAATTATTTTTTCTTCATGTTTTAATCACCAAACGAAATGTTACATAAAATGAAGCCATCTGGTGGCGAAACAGATTTCGCCGGATTTGCTAGTTTGTTTTTAATTTTAACATATTTTTTCTTTTGTTACAGGGCAACAAAATGGGCAAGTAAAGTTCGCAGAGTGCACCCACCTCCCTCTAGCGTTAAGTGTTGAACGTTCTGTGTCGAATTATATATTAAAACATGCTATTTAACTATTTATTGTAAAATACTATCAATATAAAAATAAACGTACCTTTCTCAAACGACAACACTCAAAAAAGGTTGCATATTGACAGTATTACCTCATTTAAAAAGTTGCTGGTTTTGTCTATGGTGGTGACGTCAGTCCTTTTCCCGCTAAAGAATTGTTATCATTCCAATAAAATGATTGCTGTATTATATTTAGTAATTCTGTAAACTACGTGTGTATAAATTTTCTTTAATTTTATTGTAGATAAATACATTTATTTCAGGTTAATTGTTAGTTGTTTTTTTTAAATACTTACCTTTAATTTAATCATTAAAGTTTAATTAATTTTGATTATTCTCGTACCTACTCTTTTTATCCTTCATGCCCTTGTTCTAACATAATAATATGTCTTCTTTCATTCTATTCTATCAGAAGTTCTTATTAGCCTACTACAAACTCCTATATCATTCATTTCTTTATTTGCAACGGCTAAGGTATCCTTTCACATTTGAATCAAATTTAGCTTTCCCTTTGATCTAATTTAAAAAAGGGGTCATTAAGTTATGTTATTGCGAAAATAAAAATTTAGTGAAATTCAAATAAAGGTTTAATTTTTTTTATTAAGAAATGACAATAAGAAATAAAAATATCCAATTATTTTCAGCTAATCAGATTCCACACTTTAGTGTGGCGGTGATGGCGTGATTTTTATACAAGACTAGCTTCTACCAGTGGCTTGGTTTGCGTTCCCGTGAGATAAAAAATAACA